TGTGTGTGTGTGTGTGTGTGTGTGTGTGTGTGTGTGTGTGTGTTCTCCCTGGATATTTGTGCTCAGTCGAGCATTAATCAAGGCTGAGAGCGACGTGAAGAGATTGAATGAGAAGGCTGCACCTGTTTTCCAGCTGCTTGACAAACACGGCGTTAACACCGTGCCAAGCAACATCACAATCAGCCGGCTGAGACAAAAACACACCAAGAGAAAACATTTTCAGATTAAAAAATAAAAGGATTTTAAATAGATTGTCTTCAGATTAACAGCATAAATTCTCAACACAGTGAGGAAGCTTTTATTCCCACACAGCCCGTCAGCTGGAGCTTTTTGTATTTTTGAGCAAATCATCACGTTTCCATGTTAAAGTGGCTGAAAATGTGTTAACAATGACACAACATGAGTAAACAAGATCAAACCTGGCTTTATTCAGTCAGTTGCTATAATTCTGGGATGAGGGGGTTGGGTTTTTATAAAAAATACAACACATTGAGCTCAATAATTCTTTCTAAATGTGACTTTTTTCCTGCAATAATTTWAAAAAAAAGTATTCTGACTTGTTTTTGTGTCCACACAGGTGYCATTAGACCTGGACTTGAATGTCCACGCTCAGTCTTAATTGTATCTTCACCCATAACTATGTCCAATTTGTCCGTCATGAGTTTCCCAGGTGATATAGAACTGGTTGAAATTTAAAACCTCTCCTTCTGTGTTTGTGTGTGTTTGTGTAAAAAAAAAAAAAAAGCCTGTAACATCATGTCTCAGAGTCCGGAGGGCAGTTTCACCATGGTGATCCCACATCAGCGCAGGAACTGCAGCTTCTCCATCATCTACCCGGTGGAGATCCGACTGACAGATCTCAGCTTGGGAGAGGCCAAAATCAATGAGATCCGTCCGCTGGTGAGACACACAAATACACAATCAAGACTTTTCTTTTTTTTTTTTTTTTACATTTTAAACATTTTACACAAGGACTCGTTAATTTACAGATTTACATTTTTATTTTAATTTCAGCAGTTAGTTATGTAAAAGTGATGGAATACAATATTTCCAGCATTTAAGCTGAGGTCAGTATTTGTGATTTGGTCGTTTGGTCAAACTCAGTAAGAGTTATTTAAAAGAAGAAAAGAGAGTGGTTGAATTAAARTATTTACAGTTCTGACAAATTTAAATGAATTGTATGTAACTTGCAAAAATACTACCACACTTTTGGTAACAAAAAATACAACTTCCCAGCTGAAAAACACTTCAGTTATTCGACAAAMGGAACATAAATCTCTCTGAACTACAAAAATATAAAAGTGATGTTCATCTTTTTTTATGAGCCTGAGCTAAATAAGATGCCTGAGGATTTTGGCAGCTTGTCTGACACCAGCTGGCATGATGACACCATGATTAACTGAACAGGAACAGTTTGCCAAATTTATGCCAAATAAATACTGTGTAAATTTTGAGGAAACTTGTACCTGTTTCCAAGTCTAATTTCAGGGAAAATAAACAGCCTTACACAAAATTACATGCAGGTCAAAGGGAAAAATGAAAACTTAAGGATTTCTCTAGTATGCTTGTTGTCATTTATTTTGTAAAAAAAAAAAAGTTTGATGTTTCAAATATTTAAAGGGGCAATATTATGTGTTTCTCAGGCATATATTTAAATACTATACCATAATAAAGTATATATGT